TGTTTCCTGTCTTCATCTTGTGGGATTCCTATGATATGAATGTTATTATGCTTTAAGGAGTTAGAGTTCCCTAAGTGTACATTAGTGATCCAATATCTTTTTTTTTTTAAAGATTTTATTTATTCATTTGACACAGAGAGAGATCACAAGTCGGTAGAGAGGCAGGCAGAGAAAGGGGGAAGCAGGCTCCCTGCTGAGCAGAGAGCCAGATGTGGGGCTTGATCCTAGAACCCTGGGATCGTGACCTGAGCTGAAGGCAGAGGCTTAACCCACTGAGCCACCCAGATGCTCCTGTGATCCAATATGTTTTTCTCTCTTCTCTTCACCTTTATTTTTTCCATAATTTTATGTTTTATATCACTGGTTCATTCCTTTGCTTCAATCATCCTCACTGTCATGGTATCCATTTGGAAATGCATCTCAGTTGCAGCACTTTTAATTTGGGTCTGAATAGTTTTTAGTTCTTTTATCTCGGCAATAAAGGATTCTCTAGTGTCTTTTATTTTTCAAGTCCAGCCAATAATTATAAAAATAATTATTGTTATCAATTTTAGCTCAGATGCTGTATTTATATCTATATCAATTAAATATCTGGCCATCACTTCTTGCTGTTCTTTCTTTTTGGGTGAATTCCTCTGTCTTGTCATTTTTGATGTCAAAGAAAATAAAAATTTAAAAAATAGATAATAATTAAAAAAAATAAAGGAAGCTAGATCCTAGATGTGTTTTGTTCTGTTTATTAACGGAAGCTTGATCAATTAAAAAAAATAAAAATTTGAATGTTAAAAAAATTAAAAATAAATAATAAATAAAATTAAAAATTGCTTTTTCTGTATAAAAAAAAGAAAAGAAAAAGGAGGGCTCGATCCTGTTTTCCCGAGAGCTGAAGCTTTGCAGCATTCATTGATCAGTAAACTTGGTGTGTGCAAAGGTTTTGTGCTTGTCTTCTGGGGGAGAGGCCTACTGTTGATTCTTAGGTGGACTTGCCCTAGTGGAGTTAACACCTGCAGGGCACAGGGCAGCGGACTTGGTGTAAGCAGCTCTGACATCCACTTGGTGGTGCTGTTTTCCTCACTGAGGTTGGTCAGTGCTGGTCCGTGAAAACAACTCCCCTCCCATTCTCCAGAGGGCGGAGCTTGTGTCCCCCACTCCTCAGTTAAGCTCTCTGAGATGAGCAATCACTCCCTGGCTTTCGTCAGATCCCCACCTTCACCCTGTGTCTGAGCTCTACCTGACAGGTGGTGCAGCACTTCTGTTTTATCTCAGGTGTGGCTGGGTTTCAAAACTTCAAACTTCAGAGACTGTTCCCCCTCCCCCACCCCCCCGCCATAGTGTGGATCCACACTGATACTTTAGGGGTGGGTTTTGCTGCTCTGTAGCTGGTGCCGGCTTGTCCCAGGAAATGGTCACATAACTGCACAGCAGTTCAGAGTTTATGGTAAATCACAACACAAAGCTGGTGCCAAGGTTTGCCACCCTCAATCTGCATCTTTGTTCCTATGCTGGTGAATGGGGCAGCTCAATGGCACTTGCCAGGTCTTTTACCACTACAGAGGCCATATCACCTCTACCAAGTGCACTCTAAGGAGGGGAACTATTTATCTCCATGCAGTTGAGGGGATCCTCAGAATGCTGCCCCCTTTGGGTTTCCACACTCCTTTCCCACCAGAGCACCACTCAGCTCGCCCAGCGTGAACCTGGTGATGGCACTGACCCTCGAAAATTCAGAGTGTGCTCAGCTGTTTATAAAAAACTTGTGGTAATTTATTTTATTTTGGTTATTTTATTTGCATTATTTAAATCCTCTCCTTTTTCTCAGTTAGTGGTTTTGGGAAATAGTTTTTCTTGTGAAATCATCTGTCCCTGTTTTCACTCTCTCTCTCACTCCTCTCTCTGTGGTCAGGTTTCCCTCCCCTCCACAATGCCTGTGGCTCTTTTCTCCCCCAAATCAACTCTCTGCAGTTTATACCTTCCACAAGGTGGTCTTTTTTTTCTGCTTGTAGAGGTGCAGATTTGTTCTCTCAGTCCACAGATCAATTTCCTGCGTGTCCAGAATGATTTGATATTTATCTAGCTGTGTTCAAGGGAGGAGGTAAGTTAGGGTTGCCCTACTCCTCTGCCATCTTAACCTTCCCCCTGGTCTCTCCTTTCCAAAGAGTCCCTTTTACTAATTCTTGCAGAGGTGGTTTAGTGGTCATGAACACCTTCAGTGTTTGTTTGTCTGGGAAACTCTTTATCTTTCCTTCTACTCTGAATAACCTTGCTGGATAGAGTATCTTGGCTGCAGATTTTTCTCACTAGGCACTTTGAATACATCATGCCATTCTCTTCTGCCTTGGAAGTTTCTGTTGAAAAATCTCTTGCTAGCCTTCTAAGTTCTCCCTTGTCAGCTATGACTTCCTTCATCTTGCTACTTTTAACATTTTTTATCACTATATTTTGCAAAGTTAATTAAATATGTCTCGGTGTTGGTCTGCTTCTCTTAATTCTTTCAGGGGTTCTCTGTGCCTCCTTCCACAGACTAGGAAATTTTTCAGCTATTACTTCAAGTCAATTTTCTGCCCCCTATCTCTTTCTTCTTCTGGGTCTCCTATAGTACAAATATTATTATGTTTCATGGAATCACTGAGTTTCCTAAGTCCACTCTTGTTTTGCATAATTCTTTCTTTTGTTCAACTTGATTATTTTCCATTACTCTGTCTTCCAGGTCACTAATTTGTTCCTCTGATTCTTCTATCCTGCTGTTCATTCTATCAAGTGTGTTTTCTCATTTCATTTCATCCTTATGATCATTGCTTTAAATTCTCTATTAGGCATGTTACTTATAACTGTTTTGCCTAGATCTCTGGTTGTGGCCTTGTCTTAGTCATTCATTTGGGATAAATTTCCCTCTCTCCTCATTTTGTCTGTTTCTCTGTGTTAAGAAAGTCAAGATGAAAAGCACAATAAATGCAATGAGAAACACATTTGATGCAATGAACAGCAGGAGAGAAAAGCCTTCTGCTCTTCAAAGTAGTAACTTTATGAAGAAGCGTTCCTGGAGTATCCCGTAGTGCAGTGTCCCCTATTCACCAGAACGTGTCACTTCAGCAGAGTATTCTATATGTATTGCTTATACCCTGCTGTTGTGTCTGTCTCTTTTCCTTTCAGTGCATTCATCTGCACCGACTCTCTGCCTGCTGTGGGCTGTGCCTGCTCTTTGTGGTATTAGTGGAACCCAGGCAGGCCAGCTCTGGTTGTGAGTGAGGTCTATGCCCGCCAGGGAAATCTGGCGGGGGGTGGGGTGAAGCAATGGTGTTAGCAAAACTCGCAGTGTGCCACTAGTCTTTTGCAGGATCCCCTGAAGTGCTGCTATGGCTAGGGATGTACAGCTGGCTGTGCTGTGGTGGTTGCCCCAGATGCAGTGGTTGGGCTAGGCAGAAGCTGTGTATCTGGTGGCTGTGCAGGGTGTGCAACTGCAACTAGGGACACACAATTACAGCTGGGGTGTGCAACTGGATGTGGTGTGGAATGGCATCTGGGGGCACACAGTCACACAAGCACAGCATGTGATGGTGGCTGGGGGAATGCAGCTGGGTGAAATACACGAGGATGACTTGGAGGCATACAGCTGGATGCCCAATGGCTTTAACAAAATTTGCTCTGAGTCCACGACCAAGCCTAGCAGGCTTGGAGTAGGTGAGCCCTTAGGAGAACTTGGGCATAGCACCCTGCTATCAGGTTAAGTAGCAAGTGTCTATGCCATCCTACCTCCCCCAGGTGTCCCTGTGTTTATACTGGGGGTAGTGGAGGAAAATGACACCTGCCAGGTTATTTTCATAGTTCCCCAAACACTCTGAAGTCAGTATGAACAGATCTTCTATTTGCCACTGTTTTGTGTAAACTGCTTTTATGTTCCTCTGTGCACAAGCTGCTGTCTCTTTAAGGGCAACAACCTAGCTATCACTTAGCCTCCCAGCTTGCCCCGTGTTTAATCAGCTTACCTCCAAAGCCCCTCATTTCAAGTCTCACTGGTTTTATGAACACATTATTCAGCCCTTCTGGTTTTTAAAGCCAAATGCTATGGGTTTGTCTTTCCCATATGAGTTCCCTGGCACAAGGGCCCATTTCTCTGCCCTCTTTGTTTGTACAGTTCCCTCCCTCCTGCAGGTAGTCTCCCTCCACCTTTCTGACCATTCTTTCAGATGCAGCTTTTTCTCTATATTTAGTTGTGCAGTTTGTTCCATTAACCTTCAGTTCACTCTAGATTATTGACTTGGATGTGAATAGTATCTAGTTGAAAATGTGGTGAGTTCAGGGTCCTCTTACTCTGCCACCTTCCCAAGCTCCCTGGTTCCTGTATCAACATCGTGTGACTGATTGCCTAGTTACAACTTTGCCTCTTTGTTTCAGAAATTATGCAGACAGATAAATATGACTCAGTTATCATTACTTGATATCCCTGTCTTTCCAGATTTACTTCAATTTCCTAGTTCTTTCTACCTTAAGGAGACAGTACTGTCCAGACCCTTCTTAACAAACTCTTCTCAAGGATTCCAGCAGCTGCAATCTCCTAGTGGCTCCAGTCATACCTGCTTCCTCAGGCCTTCACAAAGGAGCCCAGGTGGGGAACCCTAGCACATGCCAGGGACATTCCCCAGCTTTCATTAATGAGAGAGATATATACCCATTTTTATAAAATTCTAGAAAATGCAAACAGATCTACGGTGACAAAAAGTAGATCAGTAGTTGCCTGGGACTGGGGCCAGAGCAGGAATCTGCTACAAGAGGACTCTTTTAGGGATGATGAAATGTTCTGTATTTTGATTGTGGAGATGGTTTCCTGAATGGAGTTATCTATCAAAACTCATTCAACCATATACTTTAAATAGATGCAGTTGTTACACATATTTCATGACTCAATAAACTTGATTTTTAGAATGCAAAAAAATTTGTTCACTATCCAAAAAGAATTTTTTTTAGATAGTTTTGCTAACACACAACTTAAGTGACACACAGACTGGAAATGAAAAGAATATTAGCCCTTATTTATTGTATACTTAGAAAAGCTAGGAAATGAAACTAAAAAACTATTACAACTAAAAATAATTTAGCATGGCAACTGGATCCAGATAAAATTTAAAAAATTCAATACTTTTAAAAAATACTAGCAATAACCAACAGAAATTGAGGTGGCTTTCATATATAGCCCATTTTCCTCCATGCAAGAGCCGGAGTACTTTTCAAGGAAGTAAGGACATTCATTCCTGCTGAACATGTACACCAGACTGGTGGTGGGGGGTAATATGCTTATGAATAGTGCTGGCTCTCCCCATCCAGACTCAAGAGTGGTAAGAGGATGAGCAAACAACAAACAGAAGGTAAAGTTACCATACAATAGGCAGAGGGTTCTACTGAAGACATGACTAGTAATGTGCAAGTCACAGTGGAGGAATGGGGATATGCTAATAAGGGCTCCTTCTCAGAATCTGGATGCTCCCAAGATAAAACACTTTAAAGAAAGTCCTATCTGCAGATCTTGTAAAGGAAAATGGAAACAAACAGCAAAAATACATCTGAAAACAGAAATTTAATTTAAAACACTTATTTCAAAATGGCTAATTTCTAGCTATATACTTCATTCAGTAGTTTTTACAGATCTCCCCAATAACATTCTTCCTAATCTTTTCTGAGATGCCTCCCCCCAAATCACATCTAATTCTTATTTTCTTTAGCCTCAATTCTCTTCCTTTTCTTCCCCATTATCTCAGATATAAATCAGAGCTCACAATAATCTCTCCTCTCCAGGTTACATAATCTGACATTGCCCATCTAACCTCCTCCTCTGCCACACTGTCAATCCTACTGTCCTGCTAAAAGAGACGGGGAAGACACCAGAGGCAAAGCTCCCCAGCACTGGGGCACTCCTGCATTGGTGGAAGGAATAGATGTTCAAGCTAATGTCTCATATGACTATAGGACTCTGAAAAGACCTCCTGATGGCCCAGAAAATTATTACAGTAATTAAATGTACTCCTCTCACCTTGACATTAGATGGCAGTTACAGGCAGACTGAACTACACAGTAAGGAAATCAGAGTCACTCTGAGTACAAATCACAGAAAGCAGGGAAAAGTACATGTCAGTGGGATAACTGCTGACTCCAAAACCTAGACAAACACACACAGATATGCATGCATAGAGGCATGCTCAAGCATAAATTGTTAGTTCTTTGAGGCTGAGGTAACAGCACTAAAACTCCCAGAGGTATATGCAGAAGATATGAATGACACCTTTGTCTGTGGTATCCTATGATATCCATCTTTAAAAGTCTTAGGTCCAGTGGTAGAAGGGAAGTACATGCCAGTTTAAGAATGGTTGAATTGGAAAGGTGAGTTTTAAAAAATTATTAAACTAGCATATGAAAATTATCTATATGATAAAATAAATCCCTAACCTCAAAGAGCCTACATTAAGTTGGTATGAAAGTACATACCTATGCCTTGACAATTATTCTGAATGCAATTTAATAACAATTGCAAATTGTAGCACAGACTAATTTGAAACACTGAAGTCAAATCAAAAGACTTTTAGGAGGAAGGAAAAAGCATCTTAAGAAGAAAGTCTTTCTGAGATGAGCTGGATCTTAAAGGGTCTGAGAGATAAAGATTAGCACACAGGAAGAAGAAAAGGTTTTCTAGATAGGAAATACAAGTGATGAGGATCTAGACTGTAATAGAATTTTTTAAAAGGCCACACCCAAGATAGGAAAGAATGAGAGTACTGGAGAATGACTTTATGCAAATGAATTATCTAGACAGAAAGGAAGCATTTAGTTACTGTCCTTGAAAAGCACACAATTTGATTATGGGATTCCTAACTAAAACCAGAGATACATTTTTAAACAAAAAAGAGAGAGAAGGTAGGAATGGAGGGAGAGAAAAAGGTAGGGAGGGAACCTACAAGTACAAGAAATGTGTAGTCCTTACTTCCCTCATAGTTGGGAAGGATGGCCCTGTGACTCTTCCACCTTCATGACCCAGCAGAAAGAATGCAGGGATTGGACCTCATTGATTAGTGATTCCAAGAGGAGATCAGGGTATCTTTCTTCCAAAGAAAAATGAACTCAAAATATCTTGCTCTGTCTTGGGGAATCTTTCTTAACAAACGGAACGAGCCAGAGCTGAATGCTTCTCTCCAGTGTGAGTTCGCTGGTGGTGATTAAAAGTGGAACGCTGACTGAAGGCTTTCCCACACTCAATACATTCATAGGGCTTCTCTCCTGTGTGAACTCTCTGGTGCACAGTGAGCTGTGAGCTGTCACTAAAAGCTTTCCCACAATCACTACATTTATAGGGTTTCTCCCCTGTATGGGTTCTCTGATGAACCATAAGGCTAGAATTATGACTGAAGACTTTCCCACACTCATTACATTCATAAGGCTTCTCACCAGTGTGAATTCTCTGGTGTATAATGAGGTATGAGTTCTGATTGAAGGATTTTCCACACTCGTTACATTTATAGGGTTTTTCACCTGTGTGAAGTCTCTGATGTCGAGTAAGACATTTACTGAGACTGAATGCCTTACCACACTCATTACATTCGAAAGGTTTTTCTCCAGTATGAATTCGCTCATGGTCAACAAGTTGAGAGATCTGACTGAAGGCTTTCCCACACTCAGTACATTTATATGGTTTTTGTCCAGTGTGGAGGCTCTGATGTCGAATAAGACATTTACTCCGACTGAAAGCCTTGCCACATTCATTACACTCATAAGGCTTCTCCCCAGTATGGATCCTCTGATGATCAACAAGATTTCTATTAGAACAGAAAGCTTTCCCACACTCACTACACTTGTAAGGTTTTTTACCAGTGTGAAGTACCTGATGTCGGATGAGATTTTTACTTCGACTAAAGGCAGCCCCACACTCATTGCATTCATAAGGTTTCTCCCCAGTATGGGTTCTCTGGTGGTCAAAAAGTTTGGAACTCTCATTGAAAGCTTTTCCACACTCATTACACTTATATGGTTTCTCACCATTATGGAGTCTCTGGTGTTGAATAAGATGGGAGCTGTGTCGGTAAGTCTTTCCACACTCATTGCACTCATAGGGCTTTTCCCCTGTGTGGGTTCTGAGATGAACTATGAGTTGAGAGGTCTGCCTGAAGGTCTTACCACATTCATTACACTCGTAGGGTTTCTCTCCAGTATGGATTCTCTGATGTCCAATGAGGTGTGAACTCCAATTGAAAGCTTTACCACATTCATCACACTGATAAAACTTCTGTCCCTTTAGAACTCCTTGACATTCTACAGCATTAGAGGACAGATCCAGATGTTTCCCAAGTTCATTATAGTCATCACATCCATCCTTTGTGGACTTATCTTTTTCCTCGTGTGTTATTTTGAAGAGCTCATTTTCCATTCTGCTCCCTTCTTCCTCTGAGGGTTGTCCTTCCAGCTTTTCTAAAGTACCTTCACAGGCAGCTCCTGCCTCTGGCTCCCCAGAAACTACTCCACAGAGGCCTCCAGATGTCCCATCAGATGACACCAGTCCTTTAGAAACTTCCCGCTCTGCAGGCAACTCTGAATGCCACATCCTAGTCTCACCTGCTGCCAAAAGAAAGAAGAATACTTTTATTAATTTCTTTTTCTCCTGATGAAACAGAATCAGGAGTCTGTGGACCTGAGAAAACCTTCATGTTAGGGGATACATTAAGAGATGAAATATTAAGAACAAGAGAAAGATGGGAAATAGCTCAAACTTTTCTTCATGGACAGAAAGACAAAGAGGGGAAAGAAGGTCAATGGGAAAGGGTGGAAGAAGAGCTATCAGGACAGAGCTCTGTCCTGACAGCTCTTAATTGCCCCACTTATTTGTCCAATCAAAAAGAGCAGCTGGAAGGCAAGAGAGCAGACTGTAAAGGTGGTGTGATCTTACAGAAATCACTTAGTAAAATGATGACCTCTAACGTCCTTTCCAATCATGACACTGTATAGTTCTGTGGTTCCTGGCAAAGATAGTGGGGAGAGAGGGGCGCCTGGGTGGCTCAGTGGGTTAAAGTCTCTACCTTCGGCTCAGGTCATGATCTCAGGGTCCTAGGATCGAGCCCCGCGTCAGGTTCTCTGCTCAGAAAGGAGCCTGCTTCCCTTCCTCTCTCTCTCTGCCTCTCTGTGATCTCTGTCAAATGAATAAATAAAATCTTAAAAAAAAAAAAAAGATAGTGGGGAGAGAAAGGAGGGGAAAATACCTCAAATCAAATATGAGAAACAGTATGGGCAAATACAATTAGGAAAAAATGTACCAAAAAAGTGAGTCTTACATGTGAGGACAGTGACAAGATTCAGAGAATTCACAGGTTCAGAAATACTGGGGGAAAAGTATTGTGGAAGGGACAGCAAAGCTCTAAAAGTGGGGATTCCCCTAGTCTCTGATGCACTAGACTGGCAGAAGTCAGTACTGTAAGTACTACATTTCTAAAAAAAAATTAAGAAATGGATTGATAATTTGAAATATGAATCAAAATACGTCTTTGGTATCTTGATAATCCGGAAGCATGGGAAACTACAGAGTTGAATATTTCCTTTCGTATTTGGAAAAGGTAGAAGTAGCAAGCAGTCATGTCTGAACACAAAACTGGTTCCTTTTAACCAGGACCACAAGCCATCATGGCATTTTAGCATATGGAAAGTTATAGCTATCTGGCTCCTGGACTCCTAAGCCCATCCACCCTCTCCAGAGTTGGCTACTGTCCTAGACTTGCCAGCCAGAGAACCTGCCCTGAAAACACTCCTTTCCAGGAAGCTGTCCTGCCTCAGTCTTTCCTGAAGGAGAAAATGAGGCAGCCATGTAACTGGTCTCAATACATCTCAGACCACAACCGACTAGACCAGGGCACCATGCCCAAGTGTAGCTTCTCTGTATGTTACACTTCAGCCTCTGTTGTGGCCAGGGGCAAAGTTCTGCCCAAACAGAGATGATACTTAATGGCTGAACCACCCTTGGAGGCCCTCTCTAAGTAAAATCTGAGCTGGAAATAGGGCAAAATAAAGAGAACTAAAACAAGAAGGCGCTCTAAACTGAAATGAGGCATGGAGAGAAGCCAAGCCATTAGGGGCCATAGCATGCAGAAAGTATATGAGAACGGGAAATCTAATAAAGAAGTAGCTATGAGGGGACAAGAGATTTAGAGTGAAGAAAATGGGAAAACAAAACAGATATGCAGGGAGCAACTGCCTTACATTCTCTGGCATAAAAATTATTTGCTGTTGTTGCTGAGGGTCCTGTTTCCCAAAGGACGGTCTAAGTGGTAGGTCTGATCAGGGTTTCCACTCCTTCCAGCCTTATTTAAGTAACACAGCTCAGGACTTACAATAACATGAGTGGCCCCCTATTCCTTACAACTACAAATTCTAATCAAACCACCCTAGGTCAATTAATAATGGAGTAAAGACAATGTTGATAACTTAGGGATGAGTGATGGACACAAAGAGGTTCATTACAGTATTCTCTCTACCTTTTCTCATCTTTGCAACTTTCCATGATAAAAAAGCTGGGAAAAAATAGAATAGAGGAAAGAAAATGTAAAGAAAAGAATGCAGACTGTATTACTGGCAAACAGAATCATTAACCAATGAGGCCATGCTGCATAGTTTTCCGGCATGATGCACCAGTACACAGCTCTCTGACTGAGGGCTGGACCTTTCCACTTCCTCTCAGTATAGTGCACAGGCAGGAACCGGTATGCTGCAGATTCCTGGAATGATAAGCTTCTACTGCTCGGGGATATTCCCAGCCTGAAGGGCAGACACATCACATCAGGGTACCAAGAGCCCAGGTAGGACCCTGGTGGGTCTAGGGGTGAGGGAAGCAGAGAAGCTGGGATGACACATCTAAGAGGACAAGTCCAGGGCCAGACAGAATCCGTGAACTCAGCAGGCAGGACCCAATTCCAGAGGAAGCAATTAGGCAGGGAAACCACAGGATTAATCTCAGAATTGGCCAGAGCCCTGAAGATGAGCGCTAGCTATTCTCAGGCCACAGCCTTGGGGACTCAAGGAAGACAGAGTCCAGCTCACCTGGGGCCTGACCATCTGAAGCACAGTTGCCACTGCCTGATCTCCTGAATTCCCAGCTTGGAAAAGGGCAGGCACCTGGGAAGGACACTGACCTGAGGGAGAAAAGAGAGCTATGAGGACAAGCCCTGCTTCGGCTCCAATAAGGTCTGTATCCCAGGGAGTGGGTTCAAGAGAACCCAGGCAGCTCCACACACTACCTCTCATTCCTCTTCCCTACAGGCATTATTCTGACTGCACTGTGAATTTTCCATGCAGGTTTTACTCTGAGAGTGAAGAGGGTTCCCTGGTTCAAGTGAGATATGGCCATTCCTCCCAGCCCTCACTCATTTTAAACTCTCTGAAGGAAGATATACTTTGGCCCACTTTCTCTCCCAATGGCTTCATTAACATTAGCCCTGCCTGATTTGCCCCTCACATTTCTGGCCCTTCATTCCCGATTTCCCTTCCTTTTTTTGGCTTCTCATTATGGATGCTGCAGGCGCTGGGCCTCAAAGCATCCCTTTTTGCTCTGGCAGAGATCTCACGGACTCTCAATGCTCTACTGCTGCTTTCCCAGTTCCAGCTCTCTTCTAGACCCCCATTACAGACTTCCAGTGGCCTATTGGACATTTCATTTGGGTGTCCCTCTTTATCTTATATTCAGTCAAAAATAGACAATCTTACCATCTTCCTATCCTGACTTCCCAAGTTCTGTCAATGATTCTAGACATCTCCCATTCCCTCTCTTTCCTTAAACTCACATCCATAAATAGTCCCCTAATTAAGCTTTAGTTTCACCATGATCTCTATTAAATCTCCAAATGGCTCCTATTGGAAACTGACAATCTCATAATAAAATTCATATGGAAAACCAAGGAGTTCTAGCTATGAGAATACTGGGAAAACATAAGCTGAAAGATTTATAATTCCAATGTCAAAATTTACTAAGTAGCAGTCATCAAAGTAGTGTAGTGCTGACATAAGGTCAGACACAGAGATCATTAACAGAATAAGCATCGAGTGATAAACGCATATATCCACAGTTATTTATTTTTGACAAAAGTCCTAAGAACACTGAAAGGAGAAAAGACTTTTCAACATGTGGTGCTGGAACAACTAGATGTGCATACAAAAAGGATAAAGATTGACCCCTACTTCAGACCATAGAAAGACAGCAAAACTTGGCATCTGTTATATCATGGACTCATAACTCAGTGCACCATGTCACAAATGACACTCATTTCCCCCTGAAACCACCCTCCATCTCTCGCCATCACTAAGCACATTTAAGATCACTACCTCCACCCAAAAGCCATCCCCTTTTTGTTATAAACCAATACCTATCCAACATCTTCTAGACTCAGCCAATGCTATCAGGACAGACAAAAAATAATGACTAAACACAGACGGAAAGAGGCTCACACCAGAAAGCAAGCTGCCATCCCACTAACAGAAAGAAACTACACTCTTGCTCTCAGGGCATGAAGAGTAAAATAAAGGACTACATTAAGGATCATCCACACTGAGGAGTCTGCTAAAGCTCCGGCAGAGAAAAGAAGCCTTGCTGTAAAAACTAGGGGAGAAAAAGAAGAGTAAATATATCGGAAAACAAAAGCAAAGGAAAAGGAGGGATATGATAAAGAAAGTGGCTGAAGGCCCACAGACAGACTTGAAGACCAGCAACAACAAAAGGCTGAGAGGAAAGGGAGCTTCAGGCGCAAGAGGGGCAGGCTCCAGCCTTGTTGAGCCACAGCAGCACAAACAGGTGCAGTAACAGCTGCTCAGAAGGAAACTAAAAGTCAAGAGAAAGAGGGACAGGGACTTTCCCTGACAAACTTATAGAACAGACTGGAGAAGGGAAAGAAACGGAAGTATGAAAGAACCTAGAAAACTGCTCAGGCGACCAGAAACCTGGCATTCAGGCTAAAGACATAGAACTCAAGGTAAGAGACAAATATTTTGAAGAAATGCATCCACCAGGAAATATAAATGCATGACCTATCTCAGGAAATGGAGACCCACAGCACAATAAGCACCA